GTTTAAAAATTAAAAAAGCCCATTATCATTTGGTAATTTTTAGAAAATTAGGTACTTAAATTATCCAAAAACATCAAAATAAAGCTAGTTTTCATATACTGTGCATGAAATATTTAGAGGTCAAAAATTTTCCGCGCTTGTAAAACTGCGACATCGCTGTGAACATGCAATTTGGAGTCTTTTGGCGGACATTTCAGTTGTATATTGTAAGTTCGAAAAGAGAAATAAAACAACCTTTAACATGGTAAAAACGGAATTTTCTGCTTGTTGCTTATAATTGAATATTTTCCCTAACTTTTATATTGCATTTGAATGCCTGAATATGTTAATGAAAATGTTTCCAATGCTTTCTAAATTGACAATTGTTTTCTAACTTTATCAAAACAAGGTCACAAGTTGTGTCATTGTAAATTACGCAAGTGACCTGGTCATAAATCTTTAAATTGAAAAAAAGCCCACAAAAGCCCATTTTCTAACCTTTTCAGATCGAAAGTATAACTAATTATAGATAATTTAAAGGGTTGAAGTTAACTTTTTTTCCACTCGGTCTGGCTAAAAAACTCGACTACAATTTGTCATTGCCTGAAAAATGTAAATATATTTTATGATAAAATCGCTATGCTTTCAAATAATTTCACATTTTAAAAATGCTTTTCCAACTCCAGCGATGTAATTTGCAATGCTAATTAATTGCCAGAGTCTCTATTTTATAACAAGTTAATTTTTTTCCATTTTAAGGATAAATTTACCTTAAAAATTTGCACTTTTTGATTGCCCTTTAAATATTTTTGTCTCTTGTTTTTGCTTCGCTTCATCTTTAAAAATCCCGCTTCATCCGCGCATTTCGCACGCTCGCGCCAGTCTCCCGTGCATCACACATGGATCAGGCAAATATTAGCGCGTTTCACCGCCCGTGTTTTACTACGCCCTGGTTAAGCGCAGTCGGGGTCGCGATGTGTTTTGTCTGACTTAGCATTGTTTTTTCTTAAAATTTTTTAAACTTTTTTTCCCGACTTTTCTAACTCTCAAAAGGTTAGGGTTAGGGGTTAGGGGTTAGGGTTAGAAAAGGGTTTGGGGTTGGGGATAGGTTTATCTTATAAAAATTAAACTTTAACAATAGTCACTAGACTGCCGGCCATTTAGTATTTTATTAAACGTCGCAGATATTTAATTACTAAACACTGCATTCAGTCACAGAATAGGAAGTTATACCAGAAGCGTAACTCTAGTCGTTTCCCTTATTGTTTGACGTCCACGAAAATTTTTAACTCGCTCACGTCAGGCCACGCCATCCTGGCTAGTACAGCCGGATGTTTTTATCAGGATTTGATAGGTACAAAGTGCCGGTTGTACTAGCCAGGATGGCGTGATTGATGACGAATCGCTTGTAAAAACGCGGACAAATATTTGCTCGAGTTACGCTTCTGGTATAACTTCCTATTCTGTGATTCAGTTGAACAATTTAAAGAACAACCTCGTACCCAGGGCCTTTGCGCGGTTCAGAGGCTCTGGTACGGGAAGCAAAGGCCCTGGTCATAGATATAGGAGACCTAGATTGCGGACTCGGCTCAACCGGCGTGGCATATTTTGAAAATCCAAGATGGCGGCTCAACCGGGCAAAAATCACAGAGCGAGATAGGGAAAAACCATGTTTTTTGCATTTCGCGTCGTCCTAAAGCTTCCGATCGCGTTCTATCACTTTATTTTGGAAAGAACTAACTAGTGTGAAGGTTTTGGATGAAAATTTGTACAATCAGTACAATTTTATACCATGGTTAATACAAATTACGATTCAACCGGGCAAGATTGGGCAGGCCTGCAGTTTCGCGCGGGTTTCGTCTTTAGTTTCTTCCTGTGTATTCCTTCAGTCTTTTACGAGTTTTTCTCAAGTAATATTATATATTTCTAACTATTCCAAAAGCTATTACCGTTTATTTTGTTCTTTCATTGTTATTTCGACCAAAATACAGTATTTTCATCTGAAAATTCTAGGGCTTCTATTCCATCTGGGTTTTTTTTTATCGAAAAGAATGCTTGAAAGTCGGCCAGAATCGTGTTCAGTGTATTACTACAAGACAGACGTGGGATGTTATTCAATTTTCCTTCCATAAGTAAGTCTATGAAACACATACACATCACATATTTGTACACTATAAGTCTATAACTTACATCATATAAACAGAATAATAATAGAATAAAAAGAATTTGGTTTGTAAATACTGTAATGACAACGTCACAACAAATGTAGTTTTGAGTTTGGCAGCTACAATATAAAACTATTTACAGTTTTAATAAAAGAATATTAGACCAAAAAAGAACTTCTTGTTTTGATGTCTGTGTTAGGAGAGTCTCTCTCTCTATATATGCATGTTAACAACTTTCCTTGTCCTGTTCAAAGTCAAAAATGTTTTAGTTTTGTTCACATCAGTGAACCAAAAATACATCTTTCCCTTTGCACTATTGGATTTCCTATAACCAATCCCAGCCTGCTAAAAAATGAAATGGGCAGACTCAATGCCAATCAAATATTCATTCTTGTGTGAGAAACACTTCACAACGGATGATTATACTTCACACCGATGATTATATTAATCCATGGTGTTGCAAGGTGCCCTACTTTATTATTTTACTCTGTCTAACGCCAGACAATTTTACTCATCAAGAGGAGAGCAGTGGCACTTAATGGGTTAACTGGCCTACCTGCAAATGTGTATAGTTAACCCATTGAGTCGTTTTGTGCCCTACTTAATTATTTTACTCTGGCTACGCCAGACAATTCTACTCATAAGGGGAGAGTGCTGATGCTTGGGTCAGCTGTCTCAAGGGGAGAGTGTCCGAAGAGAAGAATGCCGACTGCAGAGAGCAATTCAATAAAATGCCAATCCAAGAAATATCTAAACGAAGATGCCGTCCCATCTATTTTTGATTATCAATGATGAATCAATCAGGTTTCTTGGAGAGAACTAGATACTAACTGTGAAGGTTTTTGATGCATACCAGACACATTAGGCAGTTTCTTCAAACTAGTTTCCATTGAAAACTTTCGTTGTCACTAGTTCTCAGGCCTGCATAATATAGCGGACCGCGGGACCATTGGTCCCAGAAAATTTTTGAGGTTTGCAGAAAAAAATGGAGGGTAAAACTTAAAAGTCTCAAAGGAAAAAAAGTAAAGAGAAAGAAAGAAAGGAAGAAAATAAGAAAAAATGACATAATTGAATAATAAGCTGTAGGTAGTGAACTAGTGATGTTTGCAACATGCAAGTAATACAAGTTTCCAATATACCGGTACAGGAGGCTCTCCAGCAGCCTGATACTATGGTCAAAGACAGGCAGACAGCAGTCTAGCAGATATTAAGATGAAATCCTCTATGCGGTTATAATTTATTTCATCTAGTGTATTAGCTACTTCTGAAACTACCACTCCAGTTATATATGAATACAACTCATTTAACAACTACAGTATGTGGATTAAAAAGTCTATGAGTGTGGTGATTTCTTACAATGTAGTAAAAAATCTAAGCAATATGGTCCAATACACAACAGCCTTCCGCCCTTCTCATGAACTTTCATCCATTAAATTAAGATGATATTCATAACAAATATATTAAAATTATAAGAATCTAGAATCTTAAACTGCAGACAGTTCCCATTGGTCACTTTCATCATTCATTAAAATGTAAATGTTTGTTGTTAAATTAAAATATAAAGAATATTTATTCTGTAGCCATGTTGAAATACGTCTACCCTGCTGGCAGTGGTTTTGGAGCTGAGGAGAAACCACTGCGAGCAAACAAACAACTTTCTATCGAGCATGCACAAAGATCACAGCTAGGGTGAGACAATACTAATTTGACTTCATTTGCTGTAGTTTGACAGTTTGTTATCTGTACGTAAAAAAGCGTGGCATAGTACTGTTTTCTTTGTTGTCTGTCTGACTTTTTATTCTACATGCAGTTCACAATTTACTTCTAAAAGATTTTGAAATCGCGGTGCCTCACCGCTACAAATTGTGCATTTGAATTTCTGTTATATCTTTTTCAATTTTTGTATTTATCTGATCAATATCAATTTTAAATTCGGTCTGCAAACTTTACTGTATTTGTGTTAAGGTTTTCGATAAATTCCAATTTCCAAAGTTTTCAAATAATATAATAATATAATAAGGTTTCCAATTATTGTTGATTTTGACAATATTGCAATTTTTGATCGTCGCGACCTCAACCGCTACAAATTTCAACTGATGAAAGATTGTCACGACGGCACTACTATTTCTGTAAAAGGTGTTCATTTTTTGTTGTAGTGTGTGAATTTATAGTTACTCTGTCGAACTGTATAGGCGGTTTTCAAGTCATCTTAATGTATAATTTCAAACATTTTATTCAATATTTTGTAAAGTTATAATATTTTGTAAAAGGTAGTGCATTGTTACTATATTTAGAGCGTGATCATGTTGTTTTAGTACAACTGGCTCGCATTTTACTAGCAGTGCCAAGCAGTTACCCATGCACACAATAACAAAAACTTGTCAAACTTGTTTTACTGGTTTCTCATTTAATGTATTCGTCCATGAATCTGGACGGCGGCTACAATGAAACGATCATTCGTTTGCTCGCAGTAGTTTCTCCTAGCAGCTCAGCTAGAAACCACTGCTAGCTGGGTAAAATACGTCTATTTTGGTTTCAAATCTAATGAAATGGTGCATAGAATACACTGAACCTTGTTTAGTGATGATCAAATTTAAACAAAGATTCACAGTGTTTGCATGCAGAAAATATTTTTGTTGGCTTTGTGGTCCCAGAAAATAAAATATTTTATGCAGCCCTGGCCAGCACTCTCCCCTTCATGAGTAAAATCATCTGGCTTTAGACAGTTTAAAATAATAAAGTAGGGCTCAGTGGGTTAATTATACACACAGGTAGATAGTCTGATTAACCCACACTCCCCCTTGATGAGTAAATTGTCTGTAGTTAGACAGAGTAAAATAATAAAGTAGGACAACATTGGGGAACAATGCAACTTTTAAATATTCATTTTATTATTCTACATTTTACAAATTATCACTTTTATTCATCGACTAAAACGAATGGAACAATTATTGCAGATTTTTGGTGCAAACACGGATGTGAATACTGTTGTACGAAGGAATTTGAGATATCCAGTGAGAACAAGATATGTGAGAATTATTCAAAATGCTACGTCAAGTAACATCAGCTATCGTTGTGAGTTCTATGGTTGTCCGATACCAAAATTTGGCTTCTTGCCAACACTTGTTCCACCTCGTACTGATGTCCCTACAACACGTATGCCAGCCACTGATGTCCCTACAACAGATATGTCAAGATCCTCAACCAAATCAACAGGTTTGTAACAAATTATTACCAAAACGTCAGATAGGTCATCTCGGCACAATTTCCAATTGAAAGAGAAATTGTGAAGAGAAAAGGCTTGCTGGAGAGGTGGGTTTTTCTCTCTGAAAAAGTAAGTGGGTGTGTGCTAATCACTTGTGGCTGAGAGCCAAGCTGAATTGCGAAGGACGCAGCTCAACCTGATATAATCTTATAATCAATATAATATAATCTTTCTGACATGATTTCTGTAGGCACTGATGACAAATCAGATGATGATGATAATACTGGCCTTATAGTTGGTCTTGTCCTGGGTATCCTGGCTGCATTTATACTCATTGGTATTGCAGTTTGGTATTTTCACAAGAAGAAAAGGCATTCACATTCGTTTGGAAGTATTAATGCTATGCCAATGAAGGAAAATGTGTCTTGAGTTCAATACATGATTTTCTGTTGATGTAGTTTATTTAACCTGTTACCAGTATTGGCTTATAGCTGAGACTGTTTCATATGCCATACTTCACATGTGCTGAATTGAATTGTTTTTGAAAAACGACAGTAACCATTTTAATTATGCTATTATAAGTATTAATCAAATAATCGTCATCTGAATCAGTTTCAGACGCCAAATTTTTGCTGTACCTAATTTTTGAATTCAGCAGATGTGAAGTACATTAATGAAGATATTTAATTGTTTTTAAAGATGTAACAATAGTTTTTTCAGTTCATTGATACTTTAAGTATTCTGTACTAAACTAATGGACCTAATGAGTATTAGCAGTCAATTAGACTTGAAGTATCACCAGTTGTTGGTATATAATGTTGTGTTAAAGTTCTAATGCAAAATAAATTTTATCTTATTGCATTATACAACATTTTTATTTATTGCTAGTAGTGTGTATTATGCTGGTTGTGTTTTTAAAAAGGTCTATTCGTCGTCAACAGAAGTCTTATTTGGGTATGTTATAGCAAAGTTCGTCAACCAATTTCCGCTCACTTGTTAGAACTAGACAAGAAATAAATAACACCTCATAAAATTGACACCTAATTTCAAGGCAATTTGCGCCTTTTCAAGGGATTACTAGCCTGCGGTGCAGACGCTTCGTATTTCATAATTTTTTTTTTTTTTTTTTTTTTTTAATTTAATTCGCCCAATTTAATTACAAAAAAAATTTGATTATTATATTTACATGTTTATTATTTAGGGCTAGGGGCCTACTAGAAACCATCAAAAGGCTTTTGATTAAGACCCCTAGTTACATTTTAAATTACAAAATAAGGATCCTATTTACAAACAAAACTAGGTGACAGTGCTTCAAGTGAGGTGCAATATGATAAAGTATTTACATATAGTGCTACAGTAAATAAAATGTTATGATCACAAAAGTATATTATTATTAATTTATATAAAAATTTGATATTGCAGATGTTGTTTTGGTAGTAGTTTTTCAGTTATTCAGTATGTAGTATTTTTTCGACTTTTTCTTGAATATATAGTAAGATGCTATATTTTTAAAGTTTGGGTCAAGATTATTCCAGATATCAACTCCCTTGTTAGAGAGTGAATGTTTAACATAGTTTGTTCTTTGATAAGGCTTATGAAGTTTC